GTCCCTCCTTAGTGTTGAGCAAACGATTGTGCCTGGATGTACTTTTGCCACTTGTATGTTGCAATTGATTCTCTTAGGCCCTTTGGATGCCGTGCAGGCTGCCTGCCCTGCCGTGCAGCTGTCCGTCAACGTTGACGATTTCGGCCTCATGCGCTGGGGCACCGAGTCCCGCGTGGTCGGCGACATCACCGCCGCAGGCCAGCACCTGACGCAGCAGCTGCGCCAGGTCGACTTAAAGTTCGCTCTCGACAAGTCTCGCGTCTTGAGCAATTTCCCTGCGGTTCGCACCTCCATTGCAGCCAAGTTGAAGAGCCTCCAACCCCTGCCCGTTAGGTCTGAGCGTAATCTCGGCGTTGACTACGGCTCGGGCAGGGTGGCTAGTCGGGGCACGGTCCGAGGGCGCGTCGCTTGCATGAGGCCCAGGATGGTCCGAGTGGGCTTCCTTAAAGGCTCCAAACCTCGTCGCCGCGAGCTCGGACGCATGGCTCGAGCTGCTCTGGAGTCGTCGGTCCTTTTTGGGGCGTCCGTCATGGGTACCAACGGGCAGGAGTTGGAGGTTCTTCGAGGCGCGGCTGGTAAGCTGCAGGACCACCGTCAGGACGGTAAGTCTCGGACTTTGAGCCTCCTTCTTTCCCCAGTGCCCCGCTTGGACCCCATCTTTAGGGCCACTTGGTTGCCCGTGAAGTTCTACCTCCATGCGCTCTGGCACCGTTGGTTGCCCCAGGAGGCCTTGGATTCCGGGCTCCGTGAGGCCCACAGGCACCTTTCGGGGCTCGAGCACCCTTGGTCCTCCATTAGGGGTCCCTTTTGCGCCCTGTGGGCCTCACTCAGGCGCGTGGGTATCACTGCTACTTCGTCCTCGTCCTGGATCTGGCCTGATGGGGCCGACGTCAACCCGATGGACTACTGCCCCGTCACTGTTCAGGAGCTCGTGTTTCGTGCCGTGGAGTCCTGGCAGTGTCGTAAGGTCGCGGAACATTTTGAGGTTGAGGACTTCGCCAACGGTCTGATCTTGGGACCCCTGAAGGCCCTCCTTGGCAGTAAGAGTAAATTGTCGGCCCAGCAGCAGGGCCACCTCCGCAGCACGGTCATCGGTGGGCAGTGGCCGCAGAAGAGGCAGTGGGCCGCGGGCTATGACACGTCTCCCTCTTGTCTGCTCTGCCCTCTGCAGGAGGGGGCCCTGCTGCGTCGGCGCTGCTCTTGCTCTCGCTTAGACAGCCTTGAGGGCAAGCCTAGCTTTTTAGCTGCAGCCGAGGCTGCGGCGACTACTTCTGTTCTGGCTTCGCTTTTCGCCGAGCGCTGTCTTGTGCCATCCCCATCTCTGAGCCGCCCCCCTCCTGGGTCTCCTATTTGTTGGGGGCTTGGAGGGCCCTCGGAGTTCACGGGAGATATCTATACTGACGGGTCCGCTTTCGCGGCTCAGTATCCCAGTCTGGCCAGCGCGGGCTGGGGGCGCGTTGCATTGCATAAGGACCGTCGGGAAGTTGTCCCTTTTTGCTCAGGACCGCTCATGGATCCACTGCAGTGTATCAACGCTGCTGAGCTTGTTGCTGTCATGTATGTTCTTCGCTTCGCGTCTCCGCCTGTTCGTATCTACACGGATTCGGCCTTTGTGGCCGATGGTTTCCATGTGCGCGGCCAAGAGGCTACTTGTGCGTGTGTTTCTGCGCGCGCTCATCTCTGGAGGGAGTTCTGGAGGCTGGTGGATGACTGGGGCGGGGGGATCGAGATTATCAAAATCAAGGGTCACGCGACCCTGGTCGATGCGCAGTTAGGGCGTGGCACTTCTGCGCGTCACCGCTACGGCAATGCTAAGGCTGACGAGGCTGCTAAGAGTGCTGCCTCTTTTGCCAGGGTCTCTGAGGCTGCCGTTGCCCAGCTTCAGGCAGGATGCAAAGTTTTACATGTCTGGGGCTCCTGGATCGGGCGTCTTCCCGAGGGGCTTGAGGACTGTGGGCGCCCCAAGAAGCATGCTCGAGGTTTGCCCCCAGTGCCCCAATTGGTTCTCGTCCAGGACCCCATCCCCACCGATTTGGTGAGTCGAGTTCGAGCCGTTCAGGCGAGCTGCTCAGGCAAGTTGCATGCCCTTGCTAAGATCCAGCTGCAAGGTGGTCCGCTCGTGGTTGGATGCACGCGATGCGCGTGCTTCGCTGTGTCGAGGCTTTCCGGTTTGGCGAGCCCGTGCCCATCAGAGGTCACGGACCACGCTCGCAAGACTTTGAAGAGGCTTGCGAAAGGTGAATTCAGGCTCAATGGCAAGGTCTATCGAGTTCAGTCCCAGGTCAGGCTCCCTGTCCAGGTGGCCACGGCGGGTGTCTAGGTTTGCCCGACGCCCGTGGGCCTTCTCCCTGTTCGAGGGAGCCATGTCTGCCCAGCGGGGCCGAAGGCGGTTGTAAGGTGCGCCTTCGGCCCCGCTTTCACTGCTGGCGGCGGACAGACTCTGCCCGCCCCCAGATTGCGCCCAGGAGGCCCAGAGGCCAATGACTATTGCGTCCCCCCCGGGGGCCCGCCCACCTCGGGAACCTCGGGCCATATTTTTTGCAACCCCCTGGGGGCCTCCAAGAGGGACTGGAGAAGTTTTTAAGCTGGCCCAAGGTGCCTCGGAGACGGGTCAGGAAGGCCCCGAGATGGCTCCAGAGCGCTCGAACACGGCCAAGATGGCGTCAAGGACGCCCAAGAGAGTTCAAAAAACGCCCCAAGAGGCCACCAAGACGTCCCCCAAGAGGGCCCCGCGAGGGAGTGATGTTGGTGTTCTCGCCTTTTCGAGTTTCCGGCGCTTCAATAATACGGCTTCATAGGCCCCCGCGATCGCCACAAGACGGTCCAAAAGGCCCTCAGGAGGCCCGCAAGATGGCCCGGAAGGGCTCCGATCTGACATTCCCAGCCCGCCAGCAGTGCCCCAAGACGCTTCCAAGAGGCACCCAAGAGGGCCCCAGAGGCCTTCGAAACGCCCCCAAGGGGCTTCGAGAGGCTCCCCAGAGGTCCAACGAATTGCTCGAAGAGGCCTGCGAGAGGCCTCCCAAGAGACCCTTTAAAAGCTTCCCAGGCATGCCTCAGGTTTACGACCCAGACACGATGGCGGGGTTGACCGAAGGCCATAGAAATTTGTCTTTTCGTGCTTCTCTCACTCCAGGGGATCTCACGACGACCGAGGGGAGTCCCAAAATGTCTTCGAGATGGCCTGCGCGACCTCCGAGAGGGCCCTGGAGAGCACCCGGCAGGGAGACGAGAACGAGTACGAGTAGGAAGAGAAGGGGGAGGATTGGGAGGCCCCCGAGGAGGGCATAAAGAGGATGAAGAAGAGTCCCAAAGGATGAGGTCGGGGAGGAGGAGGAGGAGGAGGAGGAGGAGGAGGAGGAGGAGCCCGGGAGGGGGACGAGGAGGATGAAGGGGAGGCAGGAGAACAGAAGTAGGGGGAACATAGCGTGAAGAGCAGGAGGAGGACGAGGCGGAGGTTGACAAGTGGGCGCATGCGGTGAGAATTCCTGTTCTGCTTTCTGAAGTTGTCGTTGTCATTGTTGTCGTAACCTTGTTTTATGTATGCGTATATTTGTAAATATGTGCAGGTGTTTTGTTGTTGAAGGCCAGGGCGTGGCTGGGTAGAACCCAAGCGCGCGCGAAGCGCGCCTACACCGAGCGTCTCGCATGAGACTCCGAAGCTTGGCTCCGCTGGGTGGTCATTTGACTGCCAGAGCTGGGGTGCGCCTGCTGTGTCGCCGGCATTGGCGCCAGTAGCCGTGAGTTCGCTCTCCATCTTCGCCGCAGCCAGTGGCAGCTGGCCATGCCTCGTGGGAGGTCTCGGGCAGGTTGTTCAGTGCATGTGAGAACTGAGAAGACCGTCGATCCCTGAGCAACGATATACATACATATGTGTCTTGGATTCACACATGTTTATGCGTATAGAGTTTGATATGCATACATAGACAAAGAGAGAGAGAGAGAGAAACAAACATAGAGAAAGTGAGTGAGAGGTTTGTGTGTGTGTGCTTGAATGTGCGCGGTAAGGGAGGGCAAGCCTCCTAGACGGGCAATTTTACACATATGCTCACCTGGACCTCCCAGAACTTTCCAAGGCAGCTCAAATCCCCCCCTCAAGCCATAACCTCCCTCTCGCATAATGAGATCCGGAGTGCTCAGGTTTTCGAGTTGTCCCAAAATTTTGGCCGTAGAGGCAAGGAGGAACACTGGGTGATACTTCACTTCCTCAGAGAACTGTTCGGACGCACCTCTGTAAGTCCCAGTGGTGGGCACCATGTGGCTGTCCAGTGGGAAATCCCGCCGAGTCGGGGATGGGCCTCTGTTATATCCAGGTTTCCGATTTTCCAGATCATTTCCCTGGACTGCGAGGCTCGGTGATTTTTAAGGTTCGGGGCATGAGGTTTTCCAGCCTCGAGATGCTCTCCAGCAGCCGCGCCCCGCCGTGGGCGTTCTCAGCGACCCCGAACGGCCGCCTGAGGCCCGAGCTGTGCTCCGAGAACCAAGCCGCCCCGTGTCGGGAACGGGTCGCGACAGGATGTGTTCTGCCCAACTTTTCGACGTCGGGGGGGCCCGTGCCAGGCCCGAGGTCTGTCTGAGGACAGCTCGGGATGAGCAACCCACCCTAGGGAAAGGGTCTGGGCATCCAGGGGGCCCAATCTGCGAGATAGAAATCGACGACAGCAGCGTCGGCGAGGAGGAGAGGGACGGCGGCGGCGGCGACACGACGAGACCGAAGAGGACGGGGGCGGCGACTGCGGCGCCGCGACAGCGAGGACGGCGGCGAGGAGGAGGACGAGGAGGAGGACGGGGAGGAGGAGGACGAGGAGGACGTCGGCGGCGACGACCTGGAGGGGAGCGGGGATAGGGAGGAGGATGTCCGCGAGACTGCATCGAAAGCATCAGACCGTCGGAGAGTTGGGGAGGTCTGGGTTGGCGGGGCGGGGGGCGAGAGTTTTTTTTTGCCCGCGGCCGCCCGCGCCGTGGCTCGCCAGTGCTGCCGCCTGCCTGCCCTCGCCGGAGAGGACCGCGCGCATGATGCACTGCTGCTGACAGACTACGACGCGGCAGACGACGCCCAGTATTCACGAGCGGCGGACGTATCCATTTCCGCGCCCTCGCGGTCTGGACTCCAGCCCTGAGACCCTGGCGTCGCAACTTCTTCACAGCGGGCAGTTCCGCCCCGTTTCGGGTCCCAGGGCCCCCACAGGCCGTTGTGCCTGGAACAGTGAAGCAAAAAGATAGAGCCCAGGGCTCCGGTCGTGATCTTTTGCGATGTTGCGATGTTGATGCAACGTCCGATCTCAAGGAGGGCGCGACCCCGCGGATGCGCGGTCGCACGGATACCTTCCGCGCGGGGCATCCGCTAAGGAGCACCCCGTATCCGCGGGGTCGCGGCCGAGGGTCCCAGCCCGCGAGGCCGCGGAGGCGGATGAGTTTTTCGCCCACGAGGTACATCACCCCCTCCACCGGCGGGCCTCGCGCGGCGGTGCCACGGGGGGGCGGGGTCTTCAGGGGGCAGCCTTAGAGGGGGATGCGGCCAGGGTCGGGTATAGCCAGGACCCCAGGTAAGGGGACCCGGTCAGTAGTAGTGCTCTGGAGCCCCCAAATTTGCCAGAATCACTAAACCAGGTCTGCCGTAGCTGGTGTTTTTTCGGGTGACGGCAGTTCCGGTTAGTGGAACGGGCGGGGGGGGCGTCTCCCAGTATACATCACTAAACCAGGTCCCACTAAACCCAGATCTGCCAACGCCCGATAGGGACTGTCTTACCCCGACCGGCTCCGGGATCCGCCGCAGTCTGTTGATCTCGGCAGAAAATCATGAGAGCCTTGTGTGTTCTCGCGATTCTGCTTTCAGAGTGCATAGCGTCGACCAGCGCTCGGTATACGCTGAGATAGCACCGACTTGGCGTCGACTAGCTTCGATCTAGCGTTGATCAGCGTCCATTCGCTCGAGCCATCAAGATCAAGATGGTACGGGAGGCTCCCATGAGTTGCCGCAGAAGTTGATTTTACGACTCAAAATCGTGTCGGAAATGCACTCCGAACGATGCGAATACGTAGGATTGACATTTACGCCTCGGACGAGTTGGTCGGCTATTTCCGCAGAGGTGTTGCGGAAATCGGCATCAAAAGAGCTTGAAGGGCGGACATTTCCGCCCTACTTGCGAACTTGCACAAAGTGGGATGGATCCGGAGTCAAAATAGCGTGCCGCGCAGCCAGTCCTGGCCCGCTTGGCTTCGGCTCGACACGCTGTCCACGTCCCAGTCACCAGGCGTCAGCGTGTCGAGTTCTTCCCAGGCGGAACGACAAGCCATCAGATTGCACGGCCTGGCGTGTCACAGGGGCCGCCGCCGCGACACGGTAAGCAACAGTCCCCGACCGCAGGTTCATGGAGCAAGGGCTCCCACGAGGGCGCGAAGCTATTCGCGCTTCGCGCTTCGCGGTCCTCGTTCCTTCTCTCCCTCCTCCTCGTTCTCCTAATCTCCCTTTGGGGGGGCGGCGCGAGAGCGCGAAGTTATTCGCGCTTCGCGCTTCGCGCAGCGCGAAGCGCGAAGTTGGGAGCCCTAGACTAGTCGCCCGATAAGGGCCCGATGGCCCGCCCCGCCCAGAAGCCTGCGGATTCGCCATCGGGGGCCTGTCGCCGATCTGTCGGCGACGCACCGTCGATTCCAGGGCTCCCTCGAGGGCGCGAAGTTATTCGCGCTTCGCGCTTCGCGGTCCTCGTTCCTCCTCCCCCTCCTCCTCGTCCTCCTATTCTCCCTTTGGGGGGGCGGCGCGAGAGCGCGAAGTTATTCGCGCTTCGCGCTTCGCGCAGCGCGAAGCGCGAACTTAGGAGCCCTTGTCGATTCCAGGTCGGCGTTTCCCCCCCCCCCCTGCCTCAGTCTCCCCCTAACGTTCCCTGTCCCTCTCAGGGTGGGGGAAGAAGATGCCGCACAAGCATCCGTGGAGGAGCAGATACCGATGCCGCTGCTTGTCCAGGAGAGCCTTGGTCGCCACGGCAGGCTTCTCCTCGAGACTCTGGTCAGAGTGCACCCTGGGAGAGGTCCAGGGAGTGGCGGCATCGGACCACTCGATGTCTCCCCAGACGACAGGTGGGGATAGGGAAATGGGGGGGGTACGAAATCTGCTGCATGCAGCTGGTTGCGGCCCCGCCGCCCTGCGCTTCCCTCGATACGTTGCCGCTTCCGACGCTGGGAGGCGCTGGGAAATCGGCTGCGTAAGGTGATTCGCTGATCCTCCCTTTGCTGTCCCCTCTTGTTGTCCGACCCGGCAAAGCAGACGGGGAGGCTGGACGCACGCGACGCGGCTGGCCTGAGCGAGAGTGGGATGCACACGGCGTGGCCGTGTGTCTGTCCAGCGCTCGGCGTTCGTGCGGCCATCCACGATGGGCCTGCACGTGAGTTCCAGCTTCGTGGTAAAGTGTCGGATGTCCGCGCGGAGTTCAATCAGCCGAGAGTCCATCCCTGTCTCCAACATATTGCGGGCCCGGAGCGGCGATGACAATCGCTGGGGCGTGCCCTCGCAAGCCGAACGAATCCTTGAGACCGACACCAAGGCAAGGTGGTGCCAATCCTACGGGTAGGGATCTGCTTCAGGCTGGTAGTTTTTTCGAACAGCATTGGGATATACTTCAGGCTGATAATTCCTGGATCGGCGCTGGAGCCCCGTCCAGGGCGCGCGAGGCGCGCCAGGGGTGTCGCCGAAGACGCCGCCAGGGGGATCTAGCGCCGACCCAAGAAATCCACGCGGACCTTCGACAGGTTCAGGTGGGGGCGTTGGTTAAGGAATGCGCCAAGGAGGCTGCGGACCCTGGAGGGTTCCTTATCTGATGAGGGCGGCGGTGATATTCATGGCCAATCCATGATTGGCGCCTCCACTGGCTTCCTTATCGAAGGTTTCCTTATCCAATGCCGCCACCGTAGGTTTGTACCGTTTTCGATCCATCTAGGTGGGCGACTTCGAGCCTCTCGAAGCGGAGGACGGAGCAGGCCCGTGGGGCCTAGCAACCGTCTTCTCATTATCCTCCTCCTCCTCCTCCTCCTCCTCCTCCTCCTCTTCCTCCTCCTCCTCCTCCTCCTCCTCCTCCTCCTCCTCCTCCCTCCTCCTCCTCCTCCCCCCCCCTCACCTCCTCCTCCTCCTCCTCCTCCTCCTCCTCCTCCTCCCCCTCCTCCTCCTCCTCCTCCTCCTCCTCCTCCTCCTCCTCCTCCTCCTCCTCCTCTCTCAAGCAACACTGGCACGAGCGGGTGCAGGGAGGGCGCAGGGCTCTCCACGCATTTTGCGCGTTCCCACTCGGCCAGCCCCCGCGCCGTCCCGAGGTGCTTGGGGTCTGCCCCGCCTCCCACGCCGTGAGCGTAGGCGGTCGCGGCAGCAAAACGGGGATGTCTGCCGCCCCTGCAGGACGCCGACTTTGGAGCACGTGCGTGGGTTGTCACACGCATCAATGGAATGACGTAATAGCGCAGGAGAGTGGCATATGCAGGAAGTACGGGAGACCTTTTTAAGTTGTACAAGCCTAAAAGCAACGGTCAGTCCATGTCCACCGATGTTGTCTTGTTCCAGCCTGGCCCGAAGAACAAAGGCAAAGACAGGAAAGATGGACATCCCATGGGTCCTGGCTGTGGAGGAGCAATTGATCTACTCAGTCAGACCATCGCAGCCACCAGCGACCCGATGGTCAAGCGAGTATTGGAGACACAGCAGGCAGTCCTAGCAGCGCAGAAGCCCACGGAGACGCAGGTGACTGCGGACGAGGCGGTGCGCAAGGCTTCGGGCGCCTGGAAGGATGCTGAGGCGAAGCGCACCCAAGCTGTGGAGCAAGTTATTCGGTGCAGAGCTGCATTAGCCAAGGCCGAGGTGCGCGAGCACGAGTGCGCGCGCACGCTGGCCCAGGCAGAGTTCAACAAGCAGGTTGCCATCAAAGCCCTCGCCAACGCCTCAGGCCTGCAAGTGCAGACGCATGGCGAGGGTAAGGTGGGTGGCGGCCAGACTTCCAACGGCGAGTGCTTCCGCGTGGAGGTCGACGAGGCTTTTTTCGCATCCACCAAGGAGTTAGATTGCGAGGTGAGTGAGCAGAAGGAGTTCGCGGAGCTGGAGAAGCAGCTGCGCGACGTGCAGTCCGTCATGGCCACGAGGTCGGCGGAGGTGAAGGATTGGGTCGAGCGGACCAAGGCCATGACGGCGGCCATCCAGGACAGGATGCAGAAGAAGAGGAGGACGAGCGACGGCGCTGCGGCGGGCGGCGCTGGCAGCGCTGGGCAGGCTGCGGCTGGGAGCACCGAGCACACGGCGGTCGCGGGCGCGACGCCGACACCAGGCAGTAGCAGCAGCTCAGCGATACCAAGCTCGCGGGGACCGAGGCGGCGAAGCAGGTGGCGGCGGCGACGGCCGCTGCGGCTGCATCGTGAAGGTCAAGCGCGGCGCCGAGCCCCTCGGGCGGAGGCGTCGCGTCAGACAGTTGCCTCAGTCCAGGAGGTGGCAGTGCAGCGAGTACACTCACGTGCTCGACTGTTTCAACATCGGCGACAGCAACGGCTACTGAGCAGTCCACAAGTGCGAGCTCTTCGCAGGGGTGTGGTTCAGTGTCAGCTGGCGCAGTGCATGCAGATGATGACTTTGGCGCTGGTGATTGCAGTGCGTTCTTTTTCTCGAATTGCGCCTGTCTGGGAAAGAAAGCATGGGGGCATGTCCAGTCGCTGGTGTCTGACACGTCGGACAATTCAATCGATTGTTTTGGGTTAGTTGAAACGCATATCGGATACTCATTGAGCAAGATGTGGTATGTCAAATTTCGGTCACTCAAGCTCAAGCATGTTTACAACCTGGCGAGGAGCACAGGCCTTGGTAACACCGAGGCCAAGCGTGATCGAGCCAACGAGGGAGGTGACGGCCTTCTATTTCGCCGACATCTCCAGGTCCATCGGTTCCCGATCCCAGCGGAGGAGGTACCCGACCTATGTGCAGATGGTCGTTCCGCATACGACGGATTCTTGCCTGTGGTTGTGCATTTCCAGTCATATTCAGTGGTGCTTGTGGTGGTATATGGGCATCCCACGATTGGTATGGGAGCAGCCAATCTTCAACGGTTTCACCGACTCGGAGGATTTCTCCGAGCTCTACAGTTACCATGTATATGTATAGGGGGCTTCAACATGACCGCGGAGGTTCTGCAGAGGTCCAGTTTTCTTTCAATGGCCCATGGAAGGATTCGACGGTCGGAGGCAGAGTTCACTTGTACGACGGCCAAGGGTGCATCACATGTCGACTACCTCATCGCAGGCCCAGGAGCTCAGAGTTTCATCGTCGACTTGCGTGCTGATCACAACGTCCCCTGGGGGCCGCACTGTGGGCTGCGCCTGAAATTGAGACACAGTTGTCAGCAGCTTCTGACGCGATCACTCATTGTTGCAGGCAAGCTCCCACAGGTGAGTCGGCCAGGCACGGTGCCGACACCAGGCCCCAAGAGCAGTAGGACGAAAGCTGATCGCTCAGTCCGAGCGGCCCTGGCCAAGGAAAAACTCGTCGACGAATCGCTCGAGCTTTTTGGTGATTTGTTTCAGGATCTCAGTGGGGACGTTGGGCGTGACAAATTCCCGGGGCCCGTTATTTTTGAGGCCTTTGCCCCCGTCGAAGGCGAGGAGGAAGAGGGCCCGTGGGCCGAGGAAACCTGTTTCAAGCCGGCGTTTGAGAGAGGTTCGGGGGCCGTCGAAGCCTCTGGAGCCCCTAGCTCCGCCCGTAGTTCCTCGGCACCAGCTAGCTCACCCCTCGAATTCGGTGATAGTCCCCCTTAGAGCGTCGCCCAATTTGTCTTTGGCCGCAGCCGACCCAGGTCCGCCCAACATGAGTGACGAGCCTGCCCAGGGGTCCCTTTCAGAGCCCCCCAGCTGCAGCAATTTGAGTGGCCCCTATGTTCAGTCAGGGGGTGCCTCTGAAAACGTGGTGTCTGGTTCTGTTGAATCGTCGGCCAAGAATCCTGAGTTCCAAGTGCCCTCGGACCGTTGGGTTTTGGCTCAAACTCGCATCGGGCCCAGTTTCATTCCGTCCCAAAGCAATGAAATTTACACACACACACACACACACACGCACACGCACACGCACACGCACACGCACACGCACACGCACACGCACACGCACACGCACACACACACACACGCACACACACACACTGGTCTCCCATTCGTGATTCGCTGGCGATGCGAGTTGCAGGACCGCGTGTTCATCACGTGTCGGCTCTTTATGCAGGATGGGTTTCTACCTTGGAAGCCACGATATCCAGCCATCACGGTCTACCTCCTAGTTCAGTTTCGCGTGCTGCGGACCCGCGTCTTCGTGAGCAGCAGGTCCAGCAGGCGGCCACCTTCCGCGAGGCTCCCTTACAAGACAAGGTGGCCAACTGGTGGTCGCGAGTAGTTCAGGTTTTGGTCAAAGTTACGAGACATCGGGAGCGAGGTAATGGAGCGCGTCAGCTCATCTATCTCCGTGAGCTTGGCAACAGGCTCCGTAGTGATTACCCTGAGGGAACTCATGCTGCTCTTCCGTCCAACGATTGTGAAGATTGGGAGCAATGGGTGACTTTTTTATGCAGCAACTTTTTTTTTCCCTGGGAGAAGCTTGGGCAGTTTCTTGCAGGTAGCACAGCGCGCTGCGAAGCGTGCTGCTAGCAGAGCTCTTCGACATCCCCTTTCAGAGCTCAAAGAATGGACTTCGTCGGCTGAAGCGTCTGGAGTGCTACGCAAGCGCATCAAGGACTTGCCGACAGTTCAAGACGAATTATTCCACAATTTCAGTTTTCTTTCTCATCCGAAAGATATGATTGATGCCAAAGCGACTAAGTGGCATGAGTTGTGGTACGACTCTGAGTTCAGCATCGACGAGATTTGCACCGCGTTCGCCAACATGAGGGAGTGGGCTCGCATACAGGGGCTAGCCCCTATCGACGGCGACGATGTGAGATCTGCGGCTGCACGCACGAAGGCTAGAGCAGGGCTTGGAGTTGACCAGTTGACACCATTGGATATTCAAAGGTTACCGCCCGAAGGGCACGAAGCACTCGCAGGTATCCTCAACCTGGTGGAAGATACAGGTACATGGCCGACCCAATAATTGTGTGTTTTGGGGCGGCTTTTACCCAAGAAGGCAGGTGGGGACCGAATCATAGGTTTGTTGCCGATAGTTTGTCGTTTGTATACCCTCATTTGGGGGCCTCGCGCCAAGTGCTGGTCGTGCGACACGGCCACGGAGTGGGATGTCGCAGTTGCTGGCAATTCGGCTTTGCAGGAGGCGTTCTTGACAGCAGTTGATCAAGAGTTGTGTGTCAAACTTGGTGTATCCAATGGTTGTGCATTATTAGACCTCAAACCTTTTTATGATATGACCAGGTGGAGCAAGCTGCCCGACGCGGCTATTCGACTGGGGTTCCCTGGTATTGTGTATTTGTTAGAAGTTCAAATCTGCATGGCGCCCAGAATATTGGCGCACTGTGGGGCACATGCTACACCCTTCCAGCCCGCCAGGAGCATCATCCAATGATTGAGGAATGGAGTGAGATTCGGGAGGTGTCTCACTCACTTCATCTTGGACAGGTTGTGCACGGCCAGAGCTGCTTCCACCCGGCGAATCTGGGTGGATGACCTGTACATTGGACATGAAAGATCTCGGACTGCTGCGCGCAAGTCTATCATTTCAGGAGTCGTTATGGTTCGAGATCAGGTTGTAGGAGCTGGCATCCAACTTGCACCCAAGAGCGTGATCTTGTGCGACACGATAAACCACAGCAAGCATATTTCCAAAGTTCTGCTGAGAAAAGGAATAGATATCCAAGCAGTGTTGCAGGTGAGTTATCTCGGAGTTGAGTTGGGAGGCGGCTTCTAAGTGCTATGAGACGACGAAGAAGATCGAGTTTGCGGGACCGCAAATTGCTGCGACATGCGCCCACCATGTCCACGGCACATCCGGGTGGCGTCTGCAGCGGCTGCGGAGGCAACTCGGGCCG